TCTCTCCATCCCACTATTACCCCAATCTCCACCCTCTCCCTCACATTCCCCTCCCCCCACCCACCCCCAGTCTCTCTCCTGGCCCCAGAGATCTGGAGAAGGGTGTACGAAATAAGTGTTGTGAGAGGAGATCATGTCAATGGGAGAAAGTTTAAAATTCTGTTCCTGCTTTCTATGCGTGTGTTTTTATTCCTGATTTTATATTCCCCGAGTATCCGCGCTGATGTAAAATCTATCTCTCTTCTGAAATTATCCTGTTCCTTCTCAGCCCATCTTCCTTTTTCTTATTTTATCAGCTTGGCAGGGGTTGTGGCCTGGAATGTGGGTGAGAGTAGTCTATGTGGTAATGACCCATTTATTCACTATCCCTGGAGATGCACCTCTGTTTGCCATCGCAGGTCAGGAAGAAGCTCTGCTTTAGTGAATGTACCAAACAGGAGCAGAGGTAGGCCCTTCGGCCCCTTCAAGCCTTCGTGCTCCATTTGATAAGATCGTACCTGATCTCTTTGTTCCAGTTCCACGAACCCATCTACCCTCAATAACCTTTTAGTATCCCTCATCAAACAACAATCTGCCCACACTGAGTTTTCAGTGACTCCTGTCTCAACCACCCTCTGAGGCAGAGAGTTCCAAAGTTACGCACCCTCGTAAGAGAAAACATTTCATCTCTGTCCTGGAAGGACGATTCCTAACCTTAAACCAGTGCCCCCTTGTTCTGGCCTGACCTGCAGTCTAATTTCCCATTGTCTCCTTAACCTCTGATGGTCACCATCCACCCCACCTTTCCTTTTGGAATAGGGGCTTTAAATCTGCTGTTTTCCCACTTGCCCCTCTGACTTCTGGTGAATACATTAGTGATGGCATGTTCTGTTTGTTCCTACCTGTGCTTGCATCTGGCGTTTGCCCGACCCCTCTCAGGAGGACAGAATGTTTAGAGAGAGACAGGAGTGTTCTCTGTTTCCAGGCACCACATTTCAGGAGGGATGTTATGGTCTTGGAGAGGGTGCAGGGGGTGATGATCTTGGATAATTCCAGTTGAACGACTTCAGTTCTTGTAGCAAGGTTTGGGATTGCTCTCCGTTAAGGATAGATTTCGTCCAGCGGCTTGGAATCAGGGTGGGTTTGAATGGGATGTGCAGGATGAACCAATTTCCTCAGTCACGTTGGGCAGTGATAAGAGAGCTTCGTCACGTTGAAAGTGACGGGCTGTGGGGTGGGCAGCATATGGGTTAAAATCTGGGTTGCAGCCCTGAGCAGGGGAGACGAAAATTGAATCGCGCAGAGCTCTCTCAGGCCTTTGGAGATGTACTGCAGAAAGGATGGGGATAACTTGCACAGTTATGACATAATGGAGCGGTGATGTGGAAATGCTGGCCCAGTTAAGATGGGCCGAAATGGCTGCCTTCCATGCTTTGCCGTTTGTAGATTTACCAGTTTCCAATTGCTGTGCTGTCCTGTTCCATTACAGGGGTTTGTAAAAGTCGTGAAGAGCAAGTCATACTTCAAGCGATACCAAGTGAAGTACAGGAGACGAAGAGGTGAGGGCCTTTTCCCAGTCTGACCGTCTGATCTCCGGTTGAAGCTTCACTCTTGGAGTGGATCCAGCCGTCTTTAACAAATCCCGTTCAACAGCGGGCGGATTCCAGCCATTGCCTCCCAACTGCTGGAGGAGGCGCACTCGAGGGAGCCCCTGCTCTGTCAGGGATATTGCTGGGTTTGAGGGGGTTGTGTGCAGCACACGTTGAGAGAGCCGAGGGTGGGGGGACCAAGATGGTGACCTTAATGAGTTATTATTGCTGCCCGTGTTGTTCCCCAGAGGGTAAGACTGACTACTTCGCGAGAAAGCGCCTGGTCGTTCAGGACAAGA